TCAGGTCACATGCCTCCTGGGTTTACATTAATAGGATAAGCTTCCACCCTTGGCCTCACGGAAGCCTCCTGAGCAGGGCCAGAATCCTGGAAATGGGTTTCAGGAAGCCCTGAAGCTGGCCAGGGCACACCCGAGGTGCTGCTTGGTACTTTGGCTGCTTTTGGATTCACTTCTGTTGCATTTCTGCCTTCTTCCTCAAACCCTTCCCATGATTCCCATGCCGGGGTTTCTGAAGGCTCATCAGGAGGTGGCGCCGAGGGCTTAGGGCTCTCAGGGCCAAAAGCATGCCTTTAAGGCCAAAATAATAGGGTAGAACTCCAGCGGTGGATCAACCCCCAATTGAACCTCCCTTTGTCGAGCTAGACTTTCCACCATGTTTCCATGTATCCCCAGTAAAAACATGAGCCCCAAGTAGCCAGGGAGCCAAATGAATCACCTCTGCCCAAACCTTTTGAATTATGGGATCTGACAAATCCAATCCCTTGCTTTTAAGCATATCTTTCAGTGCTTTAAGTGCTGGGTCTTCAAACTTAAAAATTGCGTTACCCATTTTTAGGGTCTTGCTTACCCCGAACCTCTTCGATTGGCCCTAATACGTTTTTTCTTCTTCTTACTTCTTTCTTTTCTTCTTTTCACCTTCCTTTGAGTGCCACGTTGAGCGTCAGATGCCGGGGACTCGAACCCGCGACCCCTGGTGAGGTGAGGATTGGGGATGAGTAAGCACGCCGTTTGCCAGCCCATGCCGCCCCCATTACCTGGGGATGCTCAGACGCAATGGGGTTCCTAGTCAAGCAGGGACTCATTTATTGCAAGTGTTCCAAAGCTTATAAAGGCACCTGGAACTCCCCCCCCCCCCAGGGTGTATCTTAAGGATGGTCATGCGCTGATCATGCACTCCTCAGCAGTATGGAAGTATTCTTCAGACTTTCAAAGCAAGCCAGGCCGCGCCCCTAGTAACTTCCTTTCGGACCTGTGCAAGGTGGGGACTTTAGGTCCCCACAGTACGGAAGCTTTTTAGTTTAATGAGGTCCCATTTATTGATTCTTGACCTTGATTCCTGAGCAATTGATGTCTGGTTTAGAAAATCCTTTCCTACACCTATATGTTGTAGGTTTTTCCCAATGTTTTCTTCTAACAGTTTCAGAGTTTCAGGCTTTACATTGAGGTCTTTGATCCATTTGGAATTGACTTTTGTGCAAGATGAAAGATAGGGTTTAGTTTCATTCTTCTACAGGTGGAGATGCAGTTTTGCCAGCACCATTTGCTGAACATGCTGTCTTTCCTCCAGTGAATTTTCTTGGCTCCTTTGTCAAATATCAGGTGACTGAAATTGCATGTACTCATATTTGGGTCTTCAATTTTGTTCCACTGACCTATGGGTTTATTTTTGTGCCAGTACCATGTTGTTTTTATGACTATAGCTCTGTAATACAGCTTAAAATCTGGTATAGTAATCCCCCTGGCATTGCTCTTAGTGCTCAGGGTTACTTTGTCTTTTGTGCTTCCATATGAATTTTAGGATGGTTTTTTCCAATTCTGTGAAAAATGTCATGGGGATTTTGATTGGCATTGCATTTAATCTATAAATGACTTTTGGTAGGATGGTCATTTTCACAATATTAATTCTTCCAATCCATGAGCATGAGAAGTCCTTCCATCTTCTGATGTCTTCCTCAATCTTTTTTTTTTTGGTCTTTTTGAGGCAGGATCTCCCTGTAGCCCCAACTGACCTGGAACTCACTATGTAGACCAGGCTGGCCTTGAACTCACAGAGATCCACCTGCCTTTGTCTCCCGAGTGCTGGGATTAAAGGTGTGCGCCACCACACTTGGCTCACTCTTTCTTTAAAGATTTAAAATTTTTATTGTAGAGGTCTTTAATGTCTTTGGTCAGATTTATTCCAAGATTGATTGATTGATTGATTGATTGATTGATTTTTGTCTTTTTGAGACAGGGTCTCCCTGTAGCCCCAGCTGTCCTGGAACTCACTATG